GTAGGTCCAGCTGTGCATACGAATATATACAGATCGTAGCCTTTGTTCAGAAAGTAAATAGGCGTCGTCAAAGTTGGGGGCGATAACATCCGCGGCACTTTTGGTGCTTCCCTGAAAAATCAATGCGGTGGATGTTCACTACAGTGAGCCCTTAAACTGAAGAAATTGTAGAGGTTACACTAAAACTTCCTCTCTTTCTACCGTGTCCCTGGTTCTAAAAGAATTAATTACCTAGGGTGAATTGCCCCAAAGTGAGCAAACGAGTACGCAAGAGTTGGGATTGAGTATATTCGACTGCGTACTCCGTTCCATTCTCTATTTCCGTTCCGTTTGCTCTTAGTATAAAAATTTACCGCAATATTGGTATGCCCGCTTGGAGTGACATGTCGATCTCAATTCATACAATTTATTAGTCACTCAGCTGTCATCCATATTTTATTGTACATGCATTCATTACTTATTTATTTTCATTGCGAGTTTACAGTTATTTAGATCAGTAGTGTCGCTGATGATGACATAATTTGTATGTATGTATATGCAAAAGGGTGTCAGTGTCAATTTAATTACACAATTTAACAAACAAAGAGAAACAGTGAAATATATGTATATAAATCGAAATGAAAATATGTACATACATATGTACATATGTAGATTGATGTGGCCCCAGAGAGCGAATGAATGTGTATAGATATTAACTGAAAATGTAGCGCCAATAAAATATTCTATATAAAAACTACACACTTACATACATATCAAGATGTGTATGTTTGTATGTATGTGCAGAGCTATTAATGAATTTATTATACCACACAATGAGATGATATACTTTTATTTGCTCATCTCCCAACACTTAATATGCATTTACTAATAACTATCTATCAATTCAATTGATGATAATATACATATGTATGTGTGCATGTAGCTCAACTGACAATCGCAATATGTTGTCAAATGCACAAATAAATATACAAATTTATTTATATGGGGTATTCCATCGTCTCGGGTGGGAGGAAAAAATTGTCTTTGTTTTCTAAAATTGACTATAAGGTACTCAGGATTTATACGTTTCTATAAAGCTACACCTAATACTGTAAAATAAGGGTTATTACCAAGTACGAAAAAAAATCCAACTTAAGTTTATATGGAAAAATTCTGCGTTATTTCTTCTGTCAAGGGTGGCAAAAAATATAAATTGCTTTTTGGAGCACATTTATTTTACGAAAAACAACAAGTTGTAGTAGAATTTAAAAAGGTGGCAATCCTCTTAAAAAAATATTATAAAAGTTAGTCATAGTTATAAGCGATCCATTTGCTAATTTCATCAAAATCCGGTCAGCCGTTTCTGAGCAGAGAGAAGAATCGCATAGTTCGGTTCCTTTAACTTTAAATCACCTTGTACCGATATAGAAGTTTTAACTTCAAAATATAAAGCTTCAAAAAATAATATTTTCAAATTAAAGCTTTCACAAAACTCTTAAGATTGACACTCATATTTAAATATATCCTATTCATATTTTGAGTAAAAGTCACATAAATTCGAACCTTTAAACAGGTGGCAAGTCTTTTCAAAAGTATTTTCAAACTAAAGTTTGCTTATATCTCTTTTCAATTGACACTGGAAAACTATTTTCAATTAACTGGTGAATTAGTTGAATTTTTTTTTTCAAATACGTGGCAACCCTTCTAAGTATAGTTTTGAAATAAAGCTTTTTCAAACCCATTGCGATTGATACACACTTTTTAGTAATTCATTTATCATATTAAATTATTTGAACCGGTGGCAACCCTCTTCAAATACCTCGAAAATATTCTAAATCTTCAAATTAAAGACTTCTTATCACTCTTTTGTTTAACGCCCACATTTTCATACTTCATATAAGTAACTTATGCATAATATGATAAAATTCAACTTTTCAAACCGGTGGCAACCCTGTTCAAAATATTTTTAAAACTAAAACCTTCTTAAACCTCTTTCGCCTGACACCCATACTGTGATACAAATTTTAGTAACCTAATTTCCACAATTCAAATTGAGGTTTTCATTTTTTAAACATGTGGCAACCCTCCTAAATATTTTTTGGAAATAAAGCCTGTCAAACTCTTTTCGTTTGATAGCCATCTTTAAATTATTCATTTAACTTATTAAATAATTTGAATGTAACTTTTTAAATAGTTGGCAACTCTCTTAAAACACCTAAAAAAAAAAATCCAAATGTTCAAACTGAGATTTCTTTCGAACGATTTATTTACCACTTCAAAAAAAAATATAATTTTGTAAACACTTGATATTGCAGAGCCTTCTTTATTGAAATATAAATCGTATTCAATTAAATAGTTTTTAAAGCTTAAATTTTTAATGTATCTGCAGTGTAATAAAATAATATAACCAAACTTGTTCTTCGAAATTTTTAATATTTAGTGCTGATTCATCAATCCCCCTATATTCAGTAAATAAGTAACCTTATAATTGGATAGACTTACTCGTGGAATACCCCAAATGTACATATAAAAAATTATAAATATTATATACATATGTATCTATGTATATATCAGATGTGATCTACCTTAATGACAGTTGATAATTATGTTTATTGTTTTTGTTGTTGCAGCGGCAATATTCACTTTGCTGTCGCCATCCAACGCCTAGGCACGTACTAGGCGTGTCCGCCAATGCGTTTGTCAACCACCACCAACACGTCGACGACTTGTTGCCATAAATCACTGACTCGAATGCGATTTCATTTGCTTGTAAATAAGCTTGCGAGTGCAGCACAATTAACGCCGGGAACAAAAACAAAAAAGGACAGCATTTGTCTTTTGTAAAATTAATTCAATAAACACAATTATAAGCAATGTGCACATTGCTGGCAGCAGAAATGCATTGCTACTGTTCATAGTTGCCAGTGTGCTGTGGGGTGCAGGGAGTACAGTTGCAACACTACACAATTCACAATAGTAGAAGGCTAGTAGTCGCTGGTGTTGCAAGTAGCATTAAATGAAAGAGAAAAAAAAAACAAAGTCTTCGTACGTACCTTAAGCGAACATGCAGACACATACACAAGTAAGAAAAAGCGCATAAATAACAATTTCAATTATTGTCTTTGACTTTTTTTTTTTTGAACATTTTATAATCGCATTTTATTCATGTTTTTTTCCTCATTTATTTTCTTATTAAGTCGCTTTGTCCGCCATTGTGGAAAGTGTCAATGTGCGCTTGAGTTGTCTGCTAAACTTTTTCCACTTATGGTTAATTTAATAATGGCATTTGTAGTGGCTGACATGAATTAAGCGAAGAGACATAAGTGCAAGAATTTATGTATGTGGCGACTTTTATTTGTATGTATGTATGTAAGTAACTGAAAAGTTCATATGTAGAAAAAAATCATTTGTGGATGGCATTAGTCAACTTTGTAATTTATTTACTATTTACATATTTTTCATTACTGATGAAAATAAATCGTTTATATTTTTAGTAAAAAAAAGTATCATTAACAGACCGCCTAAGTATGTGCATAGAAAATATAATAAATTTAATTTTATTTGCTTGCCATTAATTATAATAATTAATTTCGCGGGTGGAAGCATATGCACGTAAATAGAATTATACAAATTCAATTTTTTATTTACACAAAAATACACACATATACAGGGTGTCCTAGACCACCCATCCACCCAATCTAAAATGGAGGGAAATGCTTTTTATTGAAAACTGCAAAAATTGTACCTACCAAATCGGGGGTAGAGCATCCCCCATTTCGACCCATAGGATTTTCCGCATTTCTTGTCAAAATTTGATTTGGAGACAAATCTGTTTCGGCGTTGTGCCATCTTCAGTGACGTTACATACCTTACATATTTTTTTTTCTAAAGCTCAGTAGTAGTAAAGAAAGTGGTTGTTGTAAGTTGTTTATTTTTTGACATCCCTAGGTTAGGTTAAGTCAGGCGGGCTTTTTTTGTCAACACTTAACTCGGTGGCCACAGTGACCCATAGGAGAACGCTTCTCTAAAAACCTAGCCTATCATGTCCCTTAATTATTCTGGTCTTTGCAAGAAGAGGCTTAAGCCATTCAGTTCTTCTTTAGAAATCGTTGTACCCAAATTCGACCCTAACACAGATCTGATCTATAGTTTATTGCCCCGCTAATAGTACCTTAAAAATCTTTATATTCTCCTCATCGAGAGCCAGGGCCTTCGAACCGGTTACCCTCAATGTGTTCAAATAATTTCAGCTGAAATCAGTAGCTACTCGAAGAAGCTTCTAACTATGTCTATACTCGGTACCCAAGTCTTATAGCAGATCCTCTCCTTGCACACTCTTTCGATAGAAACATTTTTCACCTCAAAACGTCATCAATAGGCAGTAAATAAATAAACAATTTACACAAAGAACTTATGCCACGAACTTGACAACAAATTAAATTCGGACAACATATTAAAGCATAAAGCTGTAAATCAAGCGCATAGAACTGGTCATCAGCATAATTACATAACACCATCGTAGCAGATCAACAGCAATAATGAGATATTTAATGAGCAATTTTGAATGCATCGAAAATAATAACGTCATCGTTAATGGAACATATGTCTATACATATACATACATAAGTAGCATGAGCAATACGTACAACAACAGCAACAACAATTAACCATAAATGTTGTAATAATCTGTGTTGTAAAGCATCAAATAATACACATGTCATACTAACAACAATACTAATAACAATAACAATAACAATACTTGCAATAACGCATGTTTGTACGAATTTTAATATGTATATATAAACACACACATATACACATACATATGTAGTATAAACGTTTATATATTGACGTTGAAATCACATCATCAGCGGAAGAAACTTCACGATAAATACGCCCACAACATCAGCTATAAATGAGCGATATGCTTTATGAGATATGTACAAGTAAAACGAGATTTGATGTGATATGTGCGTTTTAAAGTGTATATGTATTTACTATATATACATACTTACACATACATATGTACATGCATATATATTTCTGATTTCGTTGTTCATTCATACGAGATAGATATACTACTCGTACGTTCTTCAGAACCTGAGTGTGTGTATAAAGTAAGCCTCCAATGCCACTTCATAAGCGCAGACAAACAATCACTTCAAAGTGAAATAAAAGCGAAATAAAGCAGTCTGAAAGAACCGAAAGCACAGATCAGAATATGTAACTGAAAAGCAAAAGTGAGTCGTTTAATTACGTTAAATTGAAATTGAAAGGCGAGTAATCGAGCGAAGGCAGAAATAATAAATAAGATAAAAAAAAAGTATAAAATACACAGCAGCAGACGGTTTGTCCGATGCAACCTTAACTGGGAAACTACTTTTTACAAAAAATACATTTAATATAGATATGTATTTATGTACGAAGATACATATGCAGGTTTGTATCAGAGCAGTTTAACTGAAGATGCGCTTACAGAAAAGCAGTTGGTGCTTGAGATCAGCATCAGCCGCATTACTCAATGGAATAAAAAATTCGAAGAGCTCTTGGTTTTTTGAGCAGTTTGAAGAACGATTTGTCATTTAAGAAAGTGCTGAGCAGAGTCGTTGAGTGAACATTTTTAATAATATTGCAACATTTCAGCAAAATGTTTATGTTTACACTATTCCGGAAAAAATTAGAAACACAAAATATGGCAAAAGTTGTTCAAGCAAATATTTAAATTCTTCAATTCCTACAACTCTTTTTATTCGTACTCTACAAATAGCAGCAAGAAAAAATTTTTATTTTTTTTTACAAAACTATTTGTTTCGTTTCGAAACCTAATGCTAAAGCAATGACCAGTGTAATCAGGAAATCCGCAAGCAACAAAGCGTAGACAATTCAAAGATTCAAGTTTCTACTTTTTTGAATTTTTTTCGCTAAAAGCCAAAAATGTAGTGCTTATGTAGTTGAACTTGTAGAATAGTCAATCAAAAAGAATCAAAAAAAAGCCTAACACATGTAAATGAAATTATAAATACCACTAGCGAAGGTCAATTGTTGCATGAACAGAAACAAAGCATAAATATTTTTTGATACGTACGAGTATGTACGCACCAATATAAAACAAATGAAAATATTTTAGTATGTAAAACTATGGTTGCATGTACGCATTTACATATGTATATGGATATAGAACAAATAGCGGCTCATTTATTATTCATTAGGCCGAAATTGACATTGAACTAAAAAGTAAAGTAGCAGGCGAGTTTAGAATAAATTCATGTAAATCGAATGTAATTTTTGGAGCCAAAAATAATGGAAAAGAACACCAAATTTTCAAGCATAAATTTTTCGTTTAGCATATCGCTAGTTTAGAGTGAAAATTTGTTAAGTCCAGTTTTTTTTAAATTTTACAGAAGATAAGTAAAAGTGAACTCAATTTCGGCAAATATTTTATATAATGGTATTTTTTGTTTTGTATGGTTTTGAACATTTTGAGTCTATAAGATTTTCTGTGCTTTCTTTGGACTTTCTTTAAACGATATATTTGTAATTTCTGTTGCTCTCCAGTATCAAAATGTAAGTTAACAAAAATGGACTTAGCAACTTTTCACTCTAAGCGCACTTGCAGGTCATGAGCTTTCCACGAAAACTAGTATGTACGAGCTGGGTCAGGAACCGGTTTCGTACCGAACTGGGTTTGAGCCGAATAAGCCGAACCGAAATGCTTGATCCAAACCGAACACCGAATCACTTTTTATAAAGGCTCTTCACACAAACAATTAATTGGCCATACTGTGCAGACTAAAGAAAGTATGTCAATTTCCTAAAAAATTTATTAAGTTTTGCTAAATTTCGAGTAAATATTAAATAATTTTTGAGCCACACTGAGCAAAAGATCTTAATATTTAATATACGAACACCATAAATTGAAGCTTTGTATTTATAAAACAAAAAAACGTCCCCTAATTTCAACAATTTTTAACCGACTTTATTAAATGAAACACAATTTTGGTCGAAAACAAACATTAAATCACTTTCATAGAAGTTTTTGAAGTTAGCGAAGAATTTTTTTTTGAAATTTACCCCATTAAAACACCCAACGATCTAATTCTAACGGTAGACTTATTTATATACTCATTTAAAGATCTTGAAATCCACTTTTTAAAAATGTCTGTTTTTTTTTTTAAATTGGATGAAAAATATTCAATCGCATAGTCTACGTACTATGGGGAATTAGATAATATGTACATATGTCCATGAATATAAACGCACATAAATGCACGCATGCGGATCACATTAAAGATGCATTTTATTGAATTGAAAAAATTTTATTTCACTCAGCGTTGCGCCATTCGTAACAGCTTGTTGCTACAAATTATGCATTTCATATTTTAACGACTGTTTTTTTTTTTTGTTTTTCTTGTGAATAGTTAAAACGCATATATCGTTCCGCTCAATTATTTTGTGTTTGTTGCTCCGCCCAAAATTTCACTGATTTATTGCTTGCATTGACCTCAAATTATATTGATGCATTTTAAAAGAGCGAAAACATACTGGTAGCAACAAAGCATGCACATTTACAAGTATACATACAAACAGATTTCAATATGAATATGAATGAAGCAGCCGGCAGAGTTGTATGTATTTTTTGTTGCAATTTATGGGTGACCCATATGATGAGCCAAAGCAAAAAAAAACATATTTTATACAATACGCCTATATACATACATGCATGTATATGTTTGGATACATATGTACATATGTACTGGTATACTTACATACACGTGGCACGCATGCGCAATAAAAAGCAATGAATCGAACTTGAAAGCGAAGCACGTTTAAGCCGAAATGACATATGGGGCTTGGAAAGTTTGAAGAGAAACAACGCAAAATACGTAGGCAAGTAAGTGAAACAAAGAACATTGGTCGGCCAGATACGTCAAATATTTTGTTTTACAAAGGGGTACCAGGGTATAACTAAAAAAAACATTTAATAAAACAGTTTTGTGGCTGGGGCATGGCTGAGGCGAAGAGCTTCACGACGCCAACATTTTTTCGGGGCAAGCTTTTAAGTTAGGAACAGTTTGTAGTTACAAACTTTTTTCGAAATATAACGAAAATTTTTGCGACCTCTTCTGCCTCATCTTGTCTTATTTTTAACCACGATCTTATTATTGCGGTCCAAAAACTAAAAATAGTTATTACAAGCTTAAAAAGTTGTTTACCAAAAATGCATGTATGTATAACAGACCGAAAAAAAATTATTATCTAATTATCAAATAACTTAACATTTAATAAATGACCGAGATTTAATTGGCAATCTTTGAGTGTGTGATTAAGAATTTATGTCCAATTTTTAAATGACCAGGCCTATTAACGATTCTTGAAATGACTAAATATTTGTGTCCTGTTTCAAATATTAAAAAATTTATTGCCCTGCCAAAAATGTGTGTTTAATTTGCAATAACCAAACAGTTTACACATGAACAAGAGTTTTTGTTAAATTTTTAAATAAAAAAATGTCCAGTTTTTGAATGTCTAAAATTGTGTGTCCAATTTGTCAAAAAAAAACTATTAAGCCCAGATTTTAAATCTTCGAAAGTGAATATTGCTTAAAGGAAAAATATGGCGGTTTTTAAATGCGCTAAAACTTATGTCAAATTTTCAGATTTTGTACTAAAATCTTATGTCCAATTTTTTGGTGATCAAAAATGTTTGTCCAATTTCCAAGACACAATAATTTATGTCAAATTTTGAATTGCAAAAATGGTTGTCCGATTTTCAAGTAACCAAAAATTATTTAAAATTTTTTTATAACTGAAAATGCATGTCCACCTCTTTAGCAACCAAAAATTATGTCTAGCGTTAAATGACTATAATGTATGCATGTTTAGTTCTGAAGCCTTTAACTAAGAACTTGTCTCGAATTAAAAAATAAATAAATAAAAGCTTTTAAAAACATTACGTTTATGTACTTTTTGATTGAACAAAAATATATATGCAATTTTTAAATAACCAAAAACTTATATTGTTAATGAACAAACAAGTTTGTCAAATTTACAAGAAACCTAGAATTTCGTTAAAGTTTTGATTACAAAAATGTTTGTTCGATTTTTAAAAATCAAAATTAATGTCCAATTTTTATAAAAGTTTTGTGCAATTGTCCAGCTCTCAAGTAACTTAAAACTTTTCAAAAATTTGCAAAAAAAAATAAATGTAATTTTTTTATTTTTTTTTTTTCAATTAAAAATTTCAACTAAAAATGAAGTCGAGTTTTTATTAATGATCAATTTTTGTCCTATTTTCACTGACCAAACTTGCAGTTTTCAAAAAATTTAAAATAGTAAAATATTGTAATAAACTTATTTCGAAGCAAAACTGCTAGGTCTAGAAATTTCGATTTTAAGTTAAAGTAATTAAAAAAAAAATTTAATAGATTAAAACGTTGTAATTATTAACTTTCAAATGAAACGAAACAAAATTTGTGTACATATACACATACATACATACATAGTGTATATATAGTTTAGTAAGGCTAGTGATGTACGAATATGGATTATGCATACTGTACATATAAATGCTTCATTATTAAAACAAAAACGGCACATTGTTTTCAATTCTTTGCTACTATTAAATATTTTGCTTTCATGTTTCTAATAAACCATTTCTATTCCCCTTCAGCCAACTCATAATTGAAGCAATCAAGTCTGTATTGGCATTTGATCACCACCCAAAGCAACTCGGCCTACTTGGGTGGGAGCAAATTTCACATAAAAACGCACGCACATGTAATTAACCCATAAGTGCCTATGTACCCATAAATACGCACCAGCCACAAATTGGGCACTCAAGATACGCCAAACCGCACAAAAAAGCATAAATACGCAGTAGCTGGCAATAAAAAATTTCACTTAACTATGAATATTCGGGGGAAAAAAATTATATTTTTATACGCATAATATGACTTTTGCCATTGTGCCCACCCTTTCTATTAATTAATTACACTTTCTTCATCATTTAATGAATGGAAGCTAAGTCATCATCACAGTGAGCTGACTGACTGGTGGTGGATATGTACAACATAGGAAATTAGTGCTGCCTGTGGTGTGGTGTGGTGGGGTGTGGTGTGCGGGAGCAGATGCCACAACAACTACATACATAGCTTGATGGTTGATAAAACTGCGGGAAGCCTCAAAAAACAAAATTATAGTAATAATAAAAAAATTAAAAAAAAAGCTACGCAACTGGTAGC